CCCCCAAAACCCCAAAACCCCAAAACCCCAAATTATTCCTTCTCAAATGAAATAACATTTTTATACAATTTAAAACTAAAAGGAAATTAGAGATCTTCTTCAAGTTCAAGAGCTTTTCTTTTCTTAGATTTTGCAAACCCACCGACCTTCTTGTAGACAACCCTAGAAGCTCGCTTTTTATCTAGGGTCTTTTGAGAGATTGAAGAAACTGAGGACTTTTTACTCAAATTCAACGACTTCTTACTCGATACTGAGTTCCTAGAGCCATTACTTTTTGTCTCTATATAATTATTAAACCAAGCTACATTGAGAAAGAGAGTCCTACCATTTATTATATCAAAATTAGGACCGAGAGCAATCTTAGGAAGGTCTACTGTAGTTTTCCTATCAAAATAAGCAACATCTTTGATAATATTTTCCTCCTTCACAAGTTCCACAAAAGCGTCAATATCAAGATATTTCTTCTTATTTTCCTTGATTTTCTCATTAAACATTACTTCAAGGTTGATATCATTTATTCTTCAAAGGGCATCTTTCGTGATGTTGCTCCAGCCGAGTCTGCCGATACCCCAGATATTATGCCCATTCTTCTCCTCACCAACAGGGTGAGAATAATGGTTGTAGATCCTTTCTAAGGAAATATTTACTGAGTTGTCTAACTCAATAGAGGCATTTATGCCAATTTTAATATAATTGTAGAAAGGAATAGTCACCTCTACCAGCTCTCAGTAGATATGTGTTATGTCCTTCAGCTTTATGACTTCTTTAGTTGAGTCTTCTGATGTGTAGAAAAGACTGACCATCTCACTGATCTGCTGTTTTTTATAAGGCAGTTCAAGCTTATTCTTGAGAAATATCACTAATTTGTCCAGTTCGATCTCGGGCTGGTTGTCAAAAGGGATCTTAAAAAATTGATTGACACTTAGAGCTGCAGTTTGGATCATCTTATCATACACTGCCTTATAAATCTGGTACAAAGTAAGATCAAAATTATTCTTAATCCTCTGTACATCTGTCTTGACTATACAATACTCCTTCATGGATTCATAGGCATGTTCATAGATTGAATCCTCTCTCTTAGTCAAGATCTTATTTACAAAATCCTGCTAGGGTATGAAAAGGAACCTCAAACTTCAGATAATCCTTGTTATATATCTCTTGAATATTATACCCTGAGTTATTCAGCAGCATTATCTAGAACAGAATGGTAATTTTAACTGAGGAAAATGTGTTTAGACTGATTTTATCACCAGACTTTTCAAGAGTAAGCTAGCATTAATGTACAGCAGAAGGAAAGGAATTTTACTAGCATCGTGATTAGAGAGGGAAGATTTGGAAACTTTTGGCTTGAGAGTGAAGAGATGGTCAATAATGGAAGATTAAGTGAAGAAAATTAGTTTGAATTAGTTTTGATAGGAAAATTAAGGGTTTTATAAGACTTTTTAGCATTTAATTAGGTTATAAGGGTTGAGTAGAGTTAATATCAATAAGCCAAATGACTTAGTAATTATATATAAAGAGAGCGATGATTAAAGCAGAATCGAATTTATCTAGAAAATTTCGAATATTTTATTATTAACTTACATAATGCTTGAATCATAGCCTCGGAAGATTCAATTGAGAGAGACCTAAGAACTTTGCCATTAACTCTAGCCTATGATCCTTCCTCTGGTTCAGTTTCAAAGAATAAAGATAGTTTTCATAGTACTTTGGTACACTATTGTCGTATCCAAATTTCTTGTTCACAAATTCATAGAATAATTTGGGAACTGAGACTTCAAACTCTGTATTCTCAGCAACACCTTGTATAAAGTTAGCTATTATTTCAAGACATTTCTTGGATCCTCTAACTTCCATTGACTTAAAATCTTTCTTTCCCTTCATCTGTTCCTCTTTCATCACCTTAATCTTGTTATAGATCTGTCTAGGATCTTCTGGGTCAATTTTAGGCTTATTTATAGTTTTAGGATTCTGCTTCACAATGCTCATCATCTTAATTGCTGATCTTAGCTTAGCCAAATGTTTCTCAGCATTTGAAAAAGCTTTCTTCTTTATGGGCTTCCTCAGTGTAAACCTTTTATTATGTGAATACTATAGAGGTCAAGCTTAGCCTTACTATTCCTAAATCTTCGAACTGAGTATCATGCTCACAGGCATCAGCGTCCTCTTTCTTTAAAATATTGCATTGAATTCCCTCACTGACGACTGGCTTGTTTTGTAAGTTATAAATCTCTTTTCTGAGTTTCTTGATCTCAAGCTTTTGCTTAGAGCAGGTTTCTCTAAGTTCTTGCCACTTATCTCTCAATTCCTCGTTTTCAGAATCAAGCTTCTCAACTGTCGCATTGGAAGTATGAATAATCTCGTCTTTTGATTTCAATTCAAGGAGATTTTTCGCAATTTGTTCGCTAAATTTCTTGTTTTCGATACGGACTCTCTCAAACTCTTCTTCTTTAGGAGTCTTTTGCCTGAGACATTTGATTATATTCTTCATGATTTCTAGAGATTTTTGACTCATTTCACTCATGACTGCTCTTTCTTTATTGGGAGTGATTTTGGCCTAAATATGAGTGATTATATGTACTTCTTCGCTCTGGATATCTGTATAAATAAATTTCTGCTTATCAGATGATTTTTCAAAATTGGATAGGAAATTTGATAGAATTTGATTGTGATCTTTCCATCTCTCCTCTAGTAAAACAGAGTGTTGAGCCTCCTTATTTAAGCACATCTTGAGTGGCAGTTAGCTTCTCATCCGATATGAGAATCTTAGCATTTTGGTCAATGATAGTGTTTAAATGATTGGCGTTGATGCGCTCGAGTTCGTCTCATCTTTCAATTGCATCCTTAAAATCAGCTGATAATTTGTGTAACTTGTCATCATAAGTATCAACTAGATCTTTTACAAGTGAAAGAAGTTCCAGTTTATGAGCTTCTATTATTTTGGCAAAAAAGTCTCCTCTCTCCTTTCATTCTAGAGATAGCTCTCTAATGAGCTCTACCATGATAACATGGGCAGTGGCAAGATTATAGTTCTTCAATGAGAACCCTCCAAAATATTCAAGACAACAATGGAAATTTTCAAATGTCTTCTTACTAATCTGTTGATGAAGTATCTCAACAATACTTTGATTGTATTCATCTCTTTCTTTCTTTAATTTAGAGACCAAGCCTTTCTGATAGTCAACGGTTTTCAGGTTACTATTTCAAACTTACACAAACTGTCACTTACTCAACTCCTTTTCTCGCATTCATGCTATTAATTCTTTTATTAATAATACTAGAAATGAGCTCATGCAGGTCTTCTTCCTTCACCCCTTCCTTTATCTCCTTCCGTACCTGGTCCACCTCCTTCTGCTCCAAAATTCCTTCCAAATCCGACTTCCTTCCTTTCCTTCCTAAAATCCCCAATTAAAAATTCCAAAAATCAGAAAAATCTTAAACCTCGGTCAAATTTTATTCCTGTGCCTGTAAACCATATTCCTAGCTTACCGTTGGTGGGTGGCTTCTGCAGAGATTTATTAAGGAGGTGTTCAGTCTGAGTTCGAGGGCGGTCAGGAAGAGGGGTGGTGGTGATCTTGGGTTTGGGAGCCTAGAGGGGAATTGGATTTTAGTGGGGGTCTTGGGGGTTAGGGGATGAAGGGGGATGGAAAGTGGAGAAAGCGGGGTTGGGGGTTGGAGAAGGTGAAATTTGGGTGGAAAAAAGAGGTTTAGAGGTTTTGGGAAGGATTTTTGGGGTTTTGGGAAAGAATAAATGCTTTCTGAGTAGTGTTTACTAACCTCTCCTTTCAAGATCTGTTTAGCTTGTAGGAATTTCTCGTAAAGGATTTCTAAAATTTTGACATTTTGACGAGGATCATAGCCGATATCGGCAGTTACAATATCACTTGCAATGCTTGGTTTATTGATAACCTTTGTGATAAAGCTATTATGGAGATCGCTAGTTTCTTTTAGTTTATTTAAGATCACTCTCAAGTTAGAGTTCTTGATTTGAAAAGGATTCAGAGTCTCAAACCTAGCCTTCTCAGTACTTTTGCTTAGCTTTTTCTTTAAACTCGGATCAATTTGGGGCAGTTTTGATGAAAAATGATTTACTCTCTAAAATAATTAGTAATAGCCTCACCCGTATCTCTTGAAGACTCTGATGCGCAGGCGGAATTTCACCAAAACTCTAAAAATTATAATAAGATTACATTTCGATTCTTCTTCGCGAAATCTATTAAAAATTACACCTCTCCTTACCTAGGATAGATTTTATTTTCTTGCTGTGAGTTTTATGGTTATTGAACATATTAGGGTTTTTGGGAAGTATTTTGATCTTTCCCTGCTTCTTCTTGACCCCAGTGGTTTTTGTATCCCTAAAGTATTGAATTACTTAACAGCTTCACGATCGGTCGGATAAATTTGCTTAAATAAGCACCGAAATATGTCAAGAATGTTAATCACAGATAAAAAGAGGCATATCTTACTTATTCTTGTTCCTCTGGTTAAGTGCAAGTCATTCAAGGTTGACTTTAAAGTTATCTGACATTATTATTTCACCCTCTTTGTTAATTTTATGTTAACTCAATAAAGCTGTCTTATTTTGGGGTTTTGGGGTTTTGGGGTTTTGGGGTTTTGGGG